TCCCCCCCCCCCCCCAAAAAAAAAAGAAGAGCATTTACTTGTAAGATCCAACCAGAAATGAGAGACAACACAATAGAAGGAGAGAGAAGCAGTTCTTCAAAGCAGCAACCACAAGTTCCTATGTCTTTGAAGCTCTTAGATACATGTCTGAGGCTAAGTGTGGTTCCTCTCAGTGTTGCAACCATCTGGTTAACTGTCAGTAACCACCAATCCAACCCTGACTACGGAAACTTAGACTACAACTCCATTATGGGTCTCAAGTATGCTCTTTAATTTATTCCAGCTTTGGAATAAGAATTTTATAAATATTTATTTGCTTACTAAATAATTTGCTGTTTGCAGATATTTGGTTGGTGTTAGTGCTATATGTGCTATTTATGCTCTGCTCTCTACTATTTCTTCATGGGTGACATGTTTAGTGTCCAAAGCTTGGCTCTTCTTTGTCCCTGACCAGGTTTTAATTTTCTCTGATTTTTTTTCCTTCTCTGACATAATCCAGGTTACTATATATGTTAATAATTTATATGTGTGTGTGAAGGTTTTAGCTTATTTGATGACAACATCGGCAGCAGGAGCAACAGAGATAGTGTATTTACTTAACAAAGGAGACAAACCAGTGACATGGAGTGAAGTGTGTTCTTCTTACCCACACTTTTGCTCAAAACTCACAATTGCTTTGGGGCTTCATGTCGTTGTTCTCCTCGCTTTCTTATTTCTCTCTGTTATTTCTGCTTATAGAGCTTTCAGTCGCTTTGATCCTCCTTGTGATGATCCTCAAACCAATAATAATGCTTAATTACTCAGTTTTCAATCATATTTTGCAATCATATTTTGCAGCTTTGGAGTCAGTTTTATCTCAATGATGCGGAGATTTTGGTGTTTTAAATTTGTTGCTATGATTTATAATTGTTAAGAAACCTAAGGATGTATGAAGTTTTTATTTTCTTCTCTTTTAGGTCAATCGACCAATATATATACGTATTTAACCTAATTTGCAACATTAAGGAAAATTACAACTAGAAAAGTATATACGGAGATATATAATATATTTTCAATATTCCTTTCAAGTTGCAGTGTAAAGATTAAAATGCTTGGCGTTCCAAAAAAAAAAAAAAAGATAAAAAATGTTGAGTTGCAATCGTATGTTATCTCGTATCGGATGAAGTAATTGTATTCGATCGACGTGTTTAGTACCTACATATATGAAAATTTGGATCAACAGCTAAGTGTGGATAATGGAGTTACTCTCACAATGCAGATGAATAAGAGTCGTGTGCTTAATTCCAAAAGAAGCAAGTAAATTTTCAATACAGGCAAGTTCATGAACCATGAAAGACAATTCTCGATACTCAGCCTCCACATTTGAAAAAGAAAATTCAAACCAATGAGTGAGAAGCCCACGAAACATTTTTTTGTATCTTTGCAATGGATGAGCTGCTAAGATTGCGGTCTATTTATCACTGTTCGAATAAGGTGAAAGCGTTATAAATCCCGCCTTGAAAACGTCATACGGATAAGAGCAAAGTTGAGAGGAGACAATGTACGAATAGTCAGATTCCAAATTGTATATAGCCATTTTAGATGATGTTAGCGCAAAGAAAGTCCACATAGCTCCAAGCCTCCAACCAAACTACCAAACCGAGTAAGTATACATACATATAGAATAGTCTATTTCTATTTTCATGCAGCTCCAAAAATATCTTGATAAATGTTATTTACATAATACTTTATATTCATCAAAAATGTAAATAAATGTAAAGTGCGAATTACATAAATGATGTGTAGTTTTAATGAGAATGGTAGAGTGTAGTAAACAAGAATAAGTAACAAATCAAATAAATTTAGAAATAGTGATGGAAGGAATAGTCTAAAAATAAGTAAAATGTCAAGGTGTGCCACGATAATCATTGCTAATCCCTAAACAAATTGTTAGCATACAAAAACGAAAAAATATATACCTTCAAATAGTAAGAGCATCAGCATTGGTCAAGAGAGCATATATTTCTTCCCTAATGGTGGTTTCCTCCATCAAGAGACCAGCAAAAGAAGTCATTCATCTCAAAGCTTTCCAGGTCCAGGCAATTTATCAGCTATAGCCTATAGTGTATGTTAGCAAGTGGTGTGTCGGTTAGCAGACCGTAATTGCACAATTAACTGCTAACCCACACCACTTGCTAACATACACTATAGCTGATAGAATTCATTTTCTGTTTTGGTAATTTTATATTTAGACCTTCGACACTGAAATCTCAAAATGGACATATAATCATAACTAAACCAAATTTGGTGAGAAATAGGTTCCAAACTTTATTCTGGAGGTAAATAAAACGAGATCATAATTCTGTAGTCATTTAGTGCTACACGATACTTCTTATGGAAAAATAGATCGTCGAACCTACTAATACAAACAAAAATCTCAAAATTATAAATGTTACTACAATAAAACTGGGCTTAACTCTGTGATAATGGGCTTTCAAATCGTATCCATATACGTAGCTTCCTTAGTCGGAAAAGCATCAAAGCTCGGAACAAAAGTGTTGACTTTCCGCTTTGTTAAAATCCATTGCATAGAGAATTACGATGCGAGATTCTGATTAGGCATCAAGTCCTCACAGGTATAGAGAGCTTGTTCGATTTTACTCATTCTTCAGACCAATATTGATTTCATTTCTAAAACCTACATTCCCTTCTCCCTTTTGTCTCGATCTCAAACTATATTACTCTGTTTTTTTCTTTGTTCATCGTTACAGGTGAAAAGAGAGACCGAACACTGTGTAATTTCAAATATATCGACTTTCTTCCACTCATGGACACGACTTCTGATTTGTCTTCCATGGTCCGTCTCAACATTGGTATTAAAAAAACCTTTCACTCTATCATGTTTTGTCTGTAAGACCAATTTGCTAAATGTTTGGGGGTTGTTATATTTTTGTATGTTGTATGACAAATATTCTACTTATTGAGATTGTGTAAGCTCAATTTAGCAAATTTTCATTTACCTCTTTAGATTTAATTGTATTATCTCAATGTTTTATTTGGGTTGATCATAAGTTAAAATAGGATAATGCCAGAGCTGTGTTGTATTTTCTCTTCTTCAAAACATTTTGTAAAATGTTTTGTGATCATGTAGGTGGGAAGAAGTTCTGTACTACAATTGATACTTTGACTAACCGTGAGCCTGACTCAATGCTCGCTGCCATGTTTAGTGGGCGTCATGCTATGTCCCATGAATCCAACACGGTATTATTTTCCTTCTATCCTTACTTGAATTTCTATAATATCATAGGCTTCCACTGAGTTGTAATAATTGGTCTCTTTAATGATAATACGAAAAGCTAGTAATGTAGAGAGACTCTGGTTTTTAGTACCCATCTTAAGAGGTGTTTTGAAATGCAGGAATCAATTGAATAAGGGTTTTGGTCTGACTTACTAAGACATATGGTTTCTTGATTTAATAGGAGTGTGTACTTGTGACAAAGTATATCCACTAACTTAGTTGCTTTAACCGTTGCAGGGATATGTATTCATAGACAGAGACGGGAAGCACTTCCGACATATCTTAAATTGGCTGCGTGATGGCATTGCTCCTAGTCTGTCAGATTCTGATTGTTCTGAACTTTTGCGTGAGGCAGACTACTATCAGCTTCTAGTAAGCTTAACTTATCTCAGAACCTAAGTCATTTTATGGAGTTTTTGTTGTTGTAAAACACTAGCCGTTTCTTCTTATCACAGGGTCTGAAAGAAATATTAAAAGCTTCAAGGAGAGAAACTGCTGAAGTGGAAGCTGAACTAACGCGTGTTGATATCATCAAATGCATACAATCTGAAAGAGTCAGGTTTCGTGGAGTTAATCTTTCTGGAATTGATCTTTCTAAGCTGGTAATATTTCTTAATCTCACATACTTGGAGTTGTAGTTGACTTGATAAAACGTATATCACTAAATGACTCTTGTTGTTTCTAACCTGGAGTTAAAATGAAAATTCGGTTACATTTCTAAGAACGCATCTATTTGATTGATGCTACTAAGTGGATTACACATCTGCTGTCAAAGTGCTACTCATTTTTTGTGTCAACATGTTTTCGTCTTGATTAGTGTGAAGACACAACTATTAAATAATTACAGTCTGCATGTTTGTCTTTGAATAATGCAGGATCTATCACTTGTGGATTTCAGCTATGCTTGTCTCAGGAATGTGTTTTTCTCTCGTACAAATCTTCAGTTAGCCAAATTTCGTGTAAGTACCAGAAGAGTATTGTTTATCATATCATGGCAGTTTCCTTAAAGATCTTCTGCTTCATCATTTCTGCTGAATTACTCCTAAAATACTCAATTTAAACAGGATGCTGATGCAGAGGGCTCCATCTTTCACAATGCTATTTTGCGCGAGTAAGGAATATTTCAGATCCTTCCATCGCATTATTTGATCATCTACACTTGATAGCATTTACTGAAAAGATTTAAGTTCTATCCTTCCTATAAAAGGTGTGAGTTTACTGGCGCAAATCTTAGAGGAGCGTTGTTAGCTGGTACAAGTCTTCAGAGTGCTAACTTACAAGGTGCATATAATTAAGCTTCATTTTGCTTGTTTATGATCTTTCAAACTGTAATGAAAGGAGATGTCATATTATAAACATAATTTGATTAAAGACATTTGTGATGTAGATGCATGCTTAGTGGACTGTAGCTTCTGTGGTGCAGATCTCCGCTCTGCACACTTGCAGGTGCGTTAAGTGATCTATGTAGATAGTTAGCATAGAATTTTCACGATGGTTTAAGTTTTCAATTGACTATGTCTTTGGGATTATGTTTGATTCTCTTTCTTGCCTATCAGAATGCAGACCTTACAAATGCTAACCTAGAAGGAGCAAATCTAGAAGGTGCAAATTTGAAGGTAAGCAAAATCTTTCATTGCACATTTTCACACCATATATTCAGTTAGTGCTAACTATTTGGATGAGTTGTGCATGATGAGACCAAATACATATAGTGCGGTTTTAACACATAATATTTATTTGGTATAGGGTGCAAAGTTGAGTAATGCCAACCTCAAAGGAGCGAACCTTCAACGAGCTTACTTGAGGCATGTGAATCTGCGAGAAGCGGTAGGTCCAATTCAAAAACAATAATGTGCACATTGATTTTGTTCTTTTTTAAAAATTTCTCTATTTCTTCAAGTTTCTGAGTAGTAGAGCTTAAACGGTTAATCATTGAGATATGTTTATGTATCAGCATTTGGAAGGGGCCAACCTCGGTGGCGCAAATATGACCGGGGCTATCCGGTAAACTCTTTTGTTCAGACAGACTTGTAAGTCTTGTCTTATTATTTGTCACTGCTAGCTGCTTTTGGCAAATGGTTTGAGTTTATATAAATGTAAACATAAACGTTGGATCTCAAAGCTTCTTTGTTGAAATATTTAATATTTATCTAACTTGTTTTATTTTTCTAACTTGTAAATGATGTCTAGTGCGACCCTAAGAAAGTTATAAGAGAATGTGTGGAATAAACAAATTAGCGTGGTTAACAAAACTAATTAGCAAATCAAATATACAAAGCGGTACGTATAACATAACATCTTCGGTCAAATACTAGACAGAAGAGTAACTAAGACCGATCATAAGGTCTCAGGTCGAGCACAACATCCCGAAACAGTTTCTTGTCTCTAAAGAAACATGTCTCGATCACGTCTTGTCGAAGATGCATCTCACGCCTTCTACTCACAAGAACGTCTTGTCAGTTATATTATATCTCATCTGAGTTTGTTAATATAGCAGCTGTCACGGTCGAGAAGGCTTCAAGGTTAAAGTCAACGTCCATAGCATTTGGAAGGGGCAAACCTCGGTGGTGTCAATATGAACGGTGCTATCCGATAATAATTCTTGTCAGGTCCGGTGACTAGAAAAGGGAAAGATTAACTCCTTTCTAAAGTAGAAGAATATTACTATGAAGGAGTTTGAAGAAAAAATACACGAACGTATCCATAATCACAAAATTAAGGCATGAAACAACATCAATAGTAAATAGAAGATTGGCAACGAATACATGTAAAAATATATAAATGATACAAATAAAAACAATCTTTTTTTTTATTTTATTTTATCTTGGTCCGTATATTCTTTTCAAACTTTTTCTAGCTGACTCAATCCAAATCGTCCCATGAGAAGTTATTATTATTGTTGTTGTTGTGTTGGTCGTTTGCTGCAGCTGTGGAATCAGCCGGGAATAGTGAAGCCATTTGATGAACATCAAGAACAAGATTGTCATCCGTGACACCAGATGATTGCCCATTAGAGATTTCTCCACTATCACTTCCCCAATCAAGGAGCTTAGCTATGTCCTCTTGCATTGTGTTTATTTCAAGAGATTTTTCTTCCTTTGATTTCAAATCTGCACTTTTCAGTCAAAAATATTTAATATTATTCAAAGAAAAGTAAAGTTTGGATTTTTAGAGTTTACCTTGTAAGGAACATATGTTTTCAGAGGCATCATATTGTTCGAAAGTGACTGAGAAGAAGTCATTGTCATTGTTGTTCTTGCTGCTACTGTTTAGAGGAGAAGAAGTTGTTAGTTGTCTCCGTTTTGGTGGTCGGCCTCCGCTTCTATCACCTAGAGCTTCAGCCTCTTCCATGACATCCTCTAAGAGGCTGCAACTAATATTGCGCCTTTGAAGATTGGTTTTGTTATGTTTTTCATTGTATGTGAAATTCTCGACATTATTAAAGTCACATATCTGGTGGGTTTGGTTTGTAGGGAGGTCTTGTTTCATGGGGTAAACTGGGTTGGTGTGAAAGGAGGTGGGAGAAGAATTAGGAGTGTAATGAGAGCGAAGAAAGCTTGGAGAAGAAGTTGCTGAAGGGTACGAAGAAGGTGAAGGGTTTAATGAGAAAGAAGAGTAACTGTTGTTAGTGTTATGGTAAGTATCGGTTGGAGTGTTTAGACCAGAAGAGGAAGTGTAAGGTAATGTCAGAAAAGAAGTGTAAGAGTCTCTTGAAATAGGGGAGAATGGTGCAGTTGAAACACGGTTAGTGTAATCAAGAGGAGTGTTAGAATTGTTGTAGCGTCTCGCAAAGAGCGATGAAGACGGTTGGAGGAGAGGTGGAGGTCTAGGAAAAGTGAAGTTAGTGTTATTGTTGTTGAAGAGAGGGAGAGTAGGGTTCCGGTTGTTGAGAGGGGAAGATAAAGGAGATGAAAGTGGTAGTGGAGACGGCATGGAAGAGAGCTGAGAAGGTGTTTGTGGTGTGGTTGGAGTGTGAGGGCTTAATGGATGGAGGAAATTAGCGGGTGATGCGTTTGTGGTTTGGAAAGTGAATGATGATGAGGGATTTGCGTTTAGTGGTGTCGGAGATGGAAGAGGAGAAGATGATGGTGTGTTTGATTGTGATGAGTGTTGATGGTAATACATTTGTTGATGTTGCTGATGATGATGTTGTGGATGTGGATGAAACTGATGATTAGGGATGACATCTGGAGGATAAAGAGGAAGTCCTTGCCGTTGAAGACGCTTCAACCTCGTGTTCCAATAGTTCTTGATTTCATTATCTGTTCGTCCAGGCAACTATTTAACAAAAAAAGCTGAAATGATCAGTTCTTTGTTTACTCACATAGTATGGATAACATGCTCCTTATTAGAACTGGACATAAAATCCAGAACCCGAAATCCGAACCGAACCAGAACCGAAAAATCCGTTCTATTGTCCGATCCGAAATGTAAAAATATTCTAATCCGAAATGTTATTAACCGAATCTGAACGGGTAATCCGAAATATCCAAAATTAATAGTCAATATAAATATTTTAATTATATATAAGTATTTCAAATATTGAGTATACTGTTTATTTTGATATGATACATACAATAAATATTAAAATATAAATAAAGACTTAAATATCTAATTAGTTATAAATAAATATTTTATAAATGCATATTATTTACAAATGATGTTTGTTTTCATGATTAATTTAACATTTTATTTTATTTTTTATCAGTTTATGTTTGTAGGATTATTTTCTATTTAATTTAAGTGTTTTTTTAAGTTTTGATTTAAATTTCCTTTAGATATATCTGAACCGTCCGATATAACCTGAATCCGAACGATATATGGTTTCTTTATGGGTTTTATGATGCAATACAAATTTGAACCGAACCTAAAGTGTTATTATCCGAACCTGATCCATACTAATAAAATATTAGAATGAGATCTATGAGTGTAAACCCGAAAACCCAAAAATCTGAAATACCTTATCCGAATCCGAATAGGTACCCGAACGCCCAGTCATACTCCTTACGTTTCACAATGTAAGATGTTTTAAAATAAAAAGATTTGATGTGAAAAAAATAAAATGATCTGATACTTTGATTACACCTTTAGTTTTACTGAAAATTAATTGATCAATAACATTTTATAGGTATTATTTATGATCGGGTAGTTCACTTTAAATTTAGATTATCAATATTTTTAAAAATAAATTTATTTATTTAAACAAAAACAGATAAAATATGAAACAAATGAAGTCATTATATAATAGAGAAATATTAGTTGTTTGTACCTGCGCGGCCATGCGAGCCCATTTGTTACCAAGTTGAGCATGAAGCTGGATAATGAGACGTTCTTCATCATTGGTGAAAGAGCCTTTTTTGAGATTAGGTCGAAGGTGATTGGCCCAACGGAGACGGCAGCTTTTGCCACAACGAGCAAGGCCTGTGTGTTTTTGAAGGGCGTTCCAATTTCCTTCACCATTCTCTCTAACGTACGCTGCTAGTATCTCATCTTCTGTTGCCGTCCATGGCCCTTTCTTTAGTGCAACTCTTCCTCCTCCATCTGATATGTGATTGGTTGATCCACAATCATTCCCTGTTCCTACTCCGTACAGGATCATAGGTTTCACTCCGTATTTCCTCCACTACTGCCTTTGTTAGGGATTTTAGAAAGGTGAGACCAACAGAGTGATCTTCACCTTCACCTCCCAAACTAGGCTTTGCTGAAAATATTTTCTAATCCTCTTTTATTTACTGTTACCTCTGTTAGAAATGAAGAAGAAGAGGGATAAGCGACAAAAGAAGAAAAGAGGTAACTTTGGTGGTTAACGGTGTAAGTTACAACTGAAAAAACAAGAAAATAAAAAAGATTTTATAAATAACATAGAGGAGAGAGATAGAAACTGACAGTGTTTGTTTTTCTGGACACAACACAAGTCTTTTTATACAACTCACAAGATTGGTTGTTCCTTTGACTTATGTCTTTCTATTTTAAGCAAATGACACTGGAAAAGTTGACCAATATAGAGATAATGACATGTAATATACTAGATAATGATTAGGAGTTAGTTGTAGTTATCCTAATCCGGTTATGAGTACCGACTTAAACTTGTATATATATGTTACTAGATGAATCAATACAATCACGTTTTCTGCAATTATTTCATGGTATCAGAGCACTAACGATCTCTTACCTAAACGCTTCCGCATCATCAATTTTTTTCTTTTCTACATACGTGATTGATTTCGATCATGGCTACTACAAGTTCTATTTCTTCTTCTACTTCTACCTCTCTGCCCCCTACCACTACCGATTCTCCGTCAACTCCCACCACTACTTCTACTCCAATAACTCCGTATTCGTTACATCCTTCTGATAATCCAGGAGCCTTAATTACTCCTGTGCTTCTCAAAGGAGATAACTATTCTGAATGGGCAACGGAGTTTTGGAATTCTCTGCAAGCAAAACAAAAGATAGGGTTCTTAGATGGAACAGTTATCAAACCTTCGACGAACCCAGATTTATCTCGTTGGTCTGCGGCAAATTCTATGATTGTTGGTTGGATGCGAACCTCTATTGATTCACAGGTTCGTTCTACTGTCAGCCATATTCCAGATGCGTCTCAATTATGGGAGTCATTGAAACGCAGATTTTCTATCAAAAACGGTGTCCGCAAACATCTTATTCAAGATGAGATTACCAATTGTAAGCAAAACGGACAATCCGTGCTCGAGTACTACGGTCGGTTATCAAAACTTTGGGAGGAATTACAAAGTTTTCAACCTACTCAGTCGTGTACATGTGATGCCTCTTCCGTTATTGAAAAAGAACGTGAGGATGCAAAGGTACACAAGTTTCTCTTTGGTCTCGACGAGTCGCGATTCTCTTCCATTCGATCACAGATCATCGACGAAGAACCACTCCCAGATCTCAACATTGCTTACTCTCGAGTCATTCGCGCCGAGCAACACCTTCTCTCCATGCGATCTTCTGAAATCAAGCAAGATCTCATTGGTTTTTCTACTAAAGCTGATTCTTCACTACAAACTACATCGGCTCCATTGGCGGCTGCAACTCCTACTTCTCGAAGTCGTGATCCCAACCGGTTTTGTACTCACTGCAACCGTAAGGGGCACGAAGCTTCTGAATGTTTTCTGCTTCACGGTTATCCCGATTGGTACAATGAACAACAACAGCGATCAACTCAATCTTCTACTACCGCTCAGAGAGGTCGTGGTGGCCGTACTAACAGCTCTGGAGGTCGTGGACGAGGGCGATCCAATACGTCTCGTCTCGCATCACATACCACCTCCGGAACCATGTTGCCATCCGATCAGATTACTACGCTCATCAATCTTCTGCAAAACCAACAGTCTCAACTTACTACAGATCGCATGACTGGTAAAACTAATCTAAATGACGTTATCATTGATACAGGGGCTTCTCACCATATGACTGGTGACATGTCTATTCTACGAGATGTTCGCGATATACTCCCTTCAGCCGTCACGTTTCCAAACGGACGAGCATCTAAAGCAACAAAATCGGGAACACTATATCTCAGCTCTAACTATTTCTTGACTGATGTTCTTTATGTCCCTGATTTTACTTGCACCCTTATATCAGTATCTAAGCTCCTTAAACAGACTGGATGCATCGCAATATTCACTGATACTCTTTGTGTATTGCAGGACCGTTTTACGAGGACCCTGATTGGAGCCGGTGAAGAAAGAGAGGGTGTGTATTATTTTACGGGTGTGACAGTTGCAAGAGCTAATAAGACTGGACAGAAAGCACCTTCTTCTTCAGTATTGTGGCATCGGCGACTTGGCCATCCTTCTAATCAAGTGTTATCTTCTATAGATTTAGACAGTTTTCAGTTTGATTTTAAACAATTGCATTCATGTGATACTTGTTTCCGAGCAAAACAAACACGTGACGTTTTTCCTGAGAGTTCTAATAAAGCTTCTGCACCTTTTGCCTTAGTTCACTGTGATGTATGGGGTCCATATCGCACTCCATCTTCTTGTGGAGCTGTCTATTTTTTAACTATAGTTGACGATTACTCTCGAGCTGTTTGGATACACTTAATGCTCGAAAAGTCTGAGGTTTCTACACTAATCAAACAATTCTGCGCCATGAGTATCAGACAATTTAGTCGACCAGTTCAGGCGTTTCGAACCGATAACGGGACGGAATTTATGGCTCTCAAATCCTACTTTAGAGACCAAGGAATCATACACCAAACCTCCTGTGTTGATACACCTCAACAAAACGGCCGTGTAGAACGTAAACATCGACATATCCTGAACGTCGCGCGCGCCTGCTTGTTCCAAGCTCGTTTACCTATCACTTTTTGGGGTGAAAGTATCTTGACTGCTGCACATCTGATCAATCGAACTCCAACTCGTCTTCTAGGTGGTAAGACCCCATATGAGATGCTACATGGGTCTCCGCCTTCATACAACATGCTCCGTGTCTTTGGGTGTTTATGTTATGCTCACCGACGACATCGCGACAAGGATAAGTTCGGGGATCGAAGCCGGCGTTGTCTCTTTGTGGGATATCCACATGGAAAGAAAGCTTGGAACCTTTATGATATTGAGACAAATGAATTTTTCACTAGTCGGGATGTGGTGTTTATTGAGGATGACTTTCCTGGTATTACTACTAAACCTCGTGATTCTCCTCCTGTTTCCTGGTAATACCATTGTCAGATTCTAATCTCCAGATATTCTAGTTTCGGCTTTTTATTCTTGGTGCAATGATTCCATTTCGAATGATTTTGATTTCAACCCAACAAACAAATATGAGATTGATAATTAAATGTTTTGTACTCACCTTACACAATAATAGTACATGTGATTTCTTTTGTATTTCTATCTTAAAAGTACATTTTCAAATCTATATTATATATATATCCAATGTATATTTGAAATCTACTAATAGATAATTAAACGATCAACATTAGTTTTCAACTAATAATTAGAGCTGTAAGACCAAATCAGACTGCTCCTCATCGTCGATGACACGTATGATACCATTGTGTCTTACTTTGAGGATTGAAAAAAGCTGCCGGAGAAGCACTTCGATATTCATGCTGCCTCGTATATTTTAGGTTTCCTACTTGATTAGCAACAAGTAGACCCTAACTTTGACTGTGTTCCCTGCTCAACCCAATTTGAAACAAAGGAACATCTATTCTTTACATGTCCTTACTCAAATAAGATCTGGGAGGCTCTGGTGAAAGGAATTTTGGGGGATAATTTCACTAACAGTTGGAATGATATTGTGTTATTACTAGCAGAGCCAAAGTTGGATAGGATGGAAGGCTTTGTTCTGAGATACAGTTTTCAAGCCACATTATATGCTATTTTGCGAGAGAGAAATAGCCGACGCTTTGGTGAGCCACACTCATCTGAGAAAAGGCTCATCAAAATGCTAGACAAAACATTGAGAAACCGGCTGTCATCTCTATTCGTCTAATGGGAGGTAGGAGATATGAAGAGGGTCTACGGTACTGGTCCTCAACATTGAGGGAAATAAGCAGAGAAGGGAAAATTTTACCTAGTTGATATTTTCAGTCTAGTTCTTTCATTCTTTCAAATTCAAAGCATTACACATATGTATTATTTGATGCAAAACCATTTTTTGTCTTCAATATAATTTAATATTCATTCGAAAAGGAAAAAAGTGTTGTACCAGATCTATCACTTAACTAATTCACGCCAATCGGTATGAGAGATGTCGTCAGCAATAATCCACGTCTTATGGTGAATCTATATCCCAATTCCCAACACCGTATATAATAATATAAGCAATTTATTTATAAATGTATTTCGATCCGTTAAATAGTATAGTATATATATGTTGATTAATTGATGTATTAATTACTGCCGGTGTCTGCAAAATTAATCACTGTTCGATACGAAGATTACAGGTAGGCAGTAGTTGTTTGCATATTTGTGTGTAACGTGTACATGCACACACTAAACAATAACTGGTCGTTTACGTTAACTAATAGTTTATCAGAATGGCACGACCACAAACGTACAGCCTTCTATAATATAGTATTACAAGTTAGTTTAGGTTATAATTATGTCCAATTCTGTCTTACAAAAAGTTCAGCAAAAAAAAACTGTTACAGTACCAATAAGTGAATTTAGTGTTCTGAAATATTGATCAATTTAATTAAATCAATATATTAATGCGAAAACAATAAATACTGTTACTATTTGCAAATTGTCTTAAAGAATTATATGTTTGGACAGAATATACGGACATCAAACTGAAATACAAACTGTGAAACTTTACTACCGGGAAGGTGCTATTTCGACCCAAAAAGAAGGCGTTAGGTATTCAAAACGTGATCAGGCGTCGTGTATCTTTAGCTATACTAGTCTGGTAATATGGTTAGTTTTAGTTATTTAGTTCTTTTTAGGTTAAGTTTAGTTTGAATTCAAAATACCCCAATTAAATCGGTTAATATTTGTTATGTTTGGTATAAATATCCGGACATGCTTCAAATATATTATTTTTTGGATATTTCTAGGTTTCTATATATCAAAACTGAATTCTTCTCGACTTGTGAAAACCGATTTGAAATATCACACGAAAAATTTATAATACCGAATGAATTCTAGTTTCAAAACTCAAAAAAAAACTTGATATCCAAATAAATAACTCGTAGCTGAATAGGTATTCGAATATCTATGTCTAACTGATTATGTAAACAAATAAAAATATTTGTTAACCATTTTAATTCTTGTCACACATAGAGTCATTTCATTCAAATATGTCAAATTATTATAGTTAATATGTAAAATAAATGTTGTCGAAATATTATAGTAACTATAATTAATGAAATAGTTAAAAAGTAAAAATGAATGTAAAATATAAAATAAAATTTCAAAACAAATACGTTTTCTTTGTAATTCTGTATTAAATTATATTAATTTATTTAGTAACGATATTAAATAAAACTGTTAGAATTAATTAAAATAGAAAAAAAATCTGTAAAAATCACTTAAATTAGGCAAGTATTATTGTTTTATTGCTATCCATGTTTCCAAACAATTTCTATTTAGTCTACTATTCTTATTTCCAAACAACTTCACTATGTACTTCAGTTTTAATAATATAGATAATTAGGGTTGGTCCGTGTTACGCGCAGAATATGAGTTATATATGATGTCAAAACTATAAAATTGTATTTTATTTTTGATTGTGTTCTATGAACTTTTGCAAGAGAAATGTGTTATAGTATTTAAGATTCTTAAGAATGTTGGTGCGTAAAAGATATATGGTAGTTTATGTTTAAGATTTTAATAATCTTATTAAATTTAGCCGGTTTTTCTTGAAAGTTTGATTTGAAGTTAATATTCTAATTCTGTAACTTAAAAGATTAAATATTCTGATCTCTGAAAATAATTTTTTTGTACAATTCAAGTATAACTTTATCTTATTTAAATTATTTTGAAAACAAATCATTTATATAATTATGATCAGTGCTTTTAGTGTTTATAATAAGTCTTGCATATCCATTTCTATTCTATGTTTACTAAATTGTATATTAAGCTAGAGGTGTTTTAGAATTATTTTATCTTTTGCAATTATTTTTATAATTGTTTACAATTGCTTTTATTCTTTAAATAATTATTATGTCAATAATTGTTTTCATATTTTTAACAATCAAGTTCTTATTTATTTTGTAGAATTATAATTTTGTTAGAGATATCTTAATGATCGGGAATATAAGAATGTTTGTTGATTTGTTTTCAAGAGAAATTAAGGAATTTAAAATTATTGTTCTGATATATGTTAATTTAATGTAATGAATGGGTGGACATCATACCGTCGCATTCAGTTTATGTCTACCCGTTTAAATTATATTTATTTTATTGAAATCAATATATATTATAAGATCTTCAAATTCCAAAATAAAAGTTATACATGTGTATGTTATATTAATATATAACTAAATACATAAAATTATCATGAAAATTGGTTAGTTTGAGTATTTGAGTGGAAACCACTAAATATCTTAGTGTTTTGATAGTTTAAATAACTGAGATACCAGAATAAATGAAGTGTTGCGTTTTGGAAGAAATGGGACACATGTCGTGAACACAGAATTCGACTTAATGACATATTTGGTGACGTGGACTTTATGATGTGGTGTTTCACTCATTCTAAGTCCATCCACATCAGTGCCACGTCATAAAGTCCATGTCACCAAATATGTCATTAAATGAATTATGTGTTAGTCATTAATATGTCATAAAGTCCATGTCACCAAATATGTCATTAAGTCGAATTCAGAGTACTCCTTTATATAATAAATATTAGTCATTTACAAAAATTAGTGAAAAAAAAAAGTTTACAAAAGTTAAAGGTAAGAAAAGGTTTTATGTCATCTATATGTGTTATAGTCTTTGTTGCAGTCTCTGTTATTTATGTGAATGCAATCAAATTAATTCAGGCAATTTGTTTATGGTCTTTGTCGCAGTCTCTGTTGTTTTTATTTATGTGAATGCAATCAAATTAATTCAAGCAGTTTGCTTATGGTCTTTCTCGGTTCTTTGTTTTATTTATGTGAATGCAATCAATCAATTTCGCAGCGTATGGGGGACTCTGCACAGTGGAGATTAGCTTAGTTGACGCGGTGACAAACTGACAGTGACCAACTGACCACCTATCGACTTCCGTTGTTAAATATCTAATTGTTCGCTGTAAAATTTAAAGTGTCAAATACGTTTTACATGTTTCTAATGTTATTACGGAATAAAATATAGGATTAACTGGATTAGAATCTTATCCGATTTCCTCAAGAGTATGAATAGAATTATAATTTTATTTTTAGCCACCAAATAAAAATAAAATGATAACCACAAAATAGTGGTCTAGTATTAGTACTAAGCCAAAGTTCAGCCGTATTTTCCTACATTTTATCTTGTGGATATGTAGAAATTGGTTTATCTTACACATTTGAATGTCCGAATTGAAAATCTATCCGTAGACGGCACCATTTTTTCTGAGTAGTCTGACCTTCTCTAGGATACTTCCAAAGTTAAAAAAGATAAAACTATATGCTTATTTCTTCATAATTTTATGCGGACATTAGGCTTCAGAAGGACGAACAAGATACTTTCTTTGTCAATGGCCATTTAAGTCACGACGCGTATTGTGTTACACGTCAATATCGATTCCACATTCACATGGCACTTCAAATGATGATAACTAACTCGTTTTTGACATAGAACAGAAACAATATTACTTCCCATATTTGACTTAAAATTAATAATACCAGCCCACAAAACTATGCCAGTTTCGAAAACTAACTTCTCAATTTTCAATGCCAAACACAAATGTAACATCGCGCGTTTTAAGTTAAAATAACTTTCTAACTCGATTTAAGGAGATGCCACATGGAGACATCTATTTTTTCCTTTATAATGTAACAAATGAATATATGACTAGGAACATAATGTGAACATCTAAGTTTATAATCTAATGAACTCGTATCTGTCTAATAGGTATTACTTTTATGTAATAGTCGTTAGACAGGAATTTTGTTATATCATATTATTGAAGCAAGTAACCAACATGCCAAAACTAAGCTACATCAAATATTTGTCGAAAAATATATGCTTTACATAGGATAATGGAGAGGGGGATGATTGTATGGACTAAAATAAAGTGAACATCACCACTTTGGTGCAAGAAATAACATCCATAAAAATATTGTTGTATATTGGATTGGAAGGAATAAGAAGTTTGACTAGTTGAGCAAAAGAAAATAATTGAAAAGGAGCATGTATCTCACGATTTTACAAGATCGATCAATCCCCGTCTCTCTCCTTCTTGTTATTTTATTCGCAAAAGAACCCCAATCTCTTTTTTATAAAAAAAAACAATCTCTTTTTGTTTCAACATTTCCTAAATACTCTTTCTACTACTAACACATGAAGATAAATTCCCCTGATAAAAAGTGAAAAACTAACTATGAACTAACCTTACCAGTTTCAAATGAAAGATACTCTATGCGTTTCAAACTAAAATATTTATGAGTTATTACAATATTTAGAACTCATCTACAGTTAGAAATTTATATTTATTTAAACTAGCTGTTATAGTACTTTTGAGTTTAATATTTAGAACTGATTTACAGTTAGAAAGTTATATTCATTTAAACTAACTGTTATAGTATATTATTTTATGTAAATAATAAAATAATAGAGGGAAAATTAATTAAAAATATTATTAATTTTTGTAACTTAGTATATAAGATATAGTTATACACTCTAAACAGAAGCCATAACTATGCGATAAATAATAAAACCAAGGTAGACAATTGAAAAAAGCGAATGTTTTTTATAACTAGTTATAGCATAACAGTCGGTGCAACTGGTTTCGATGCAATATCTGTGTAAAAAATGAAATTGCCATAGCAGGTCGCAGGAAATACCATAGATTGACATGACCTGTTTGACAAGGACCACACAAACGAAGATGTCTCTTTTTTCATTTTTATCTTTTCCTCTTTTCACATTATCAATCTTTTTATTGTTGTATAATTTTATAAATATTTCTCGTCAAATTCACATCTCTCTTCTCTCTATATAATCCACACTAAGCTCATATCTCTCTTACAACTCCAAAAGCCTCGGAGAAACAAAACCCATATCAAAGAGTTTTTGGCAGGAGAAATAAATATGCCGATGAACAACACACCGTTCCTCACCATGTCTCTCCTCCTCCTCCTCGGTTTACTTTGGTTCGATTCATTTACCGGTTTAGATGCAGCGACCGGAAAATTAGCTTCGGTTCCAGGATTATACGTGTTCGGAGATTCATTGGTTGATGCCGGGAACAATAATTATTTAGCAATCTCTATATCCAAAGCTAATTATCCACATAACGGCGTTGATTTTCCTGACAAGAAAGCCACTGGAAGATTCTGTAATGGCAAGAACGCCGCTGATGCTATCGGTGAGTGTGTTTTTTTATCCTTTTAAGTTTTGTAAGGTCACAATTGGTTTGATTTAGATTCCGTGACATGCAGGCTATTTAAATTATATTATATTATACGTTCACTCGTAATCAGAAAATAAATGGTTAGAAGTTGAAAACAATAAAAGGAAACGAAAATTTACATGTGATCCTAACAATTAGTTATCAATATGTTTTTTTTTTTCTTTTTTGCTTTTAGTTATCAATATGTTTCGAAATTAATATGAACTTTTTTCTTTTTGATTAATAATTAGCTGAGAAATTTGGATTACCGTTACCACCGCCGTATCTCTCACTGAAAGGCCCACTTAAAGAGGAAAAGAAAAGATCTGCCGCTGTGACTGGTGTGAATTTTGCTTCAGGAGGAGCCGGAATCTTCAACAGTTCCGACCATAAACTTGTGAGTTCTTTATATACTCCTTTATATTATACTTAAATTTAAAATTCTTGAAAAGAAATAAGAAGAGTTGATTCAACGGTCGACATTAACAGAGTGACAAGTGTCTCCTTTACTATTATCGTCAGGGAATAATTTAATAAATCAGAAAATTACAAATAAATATAAAACATGCGATGAGCGTAAATCGAACGCATACGCTTTATTATCACATACCAAGAAATTAGGTAAAATGTAATGTTGTAAAATTTAATTATTTAAAATGTTTCAGGGACAAGCTATTCCTTTGTCACACCAAGTGAACCATTGGCTCTCTATTCATCAAGAACTGACGAGTCAGCTTGGACCAGCAGAAGCACAAAACCATCTGTCCAAATCTCTGTTCGCTGTGGTCATTGGCAGTAACGATCTTTTCGACTATTTTGGATCTTTCAAACTTAGACAAGAGACCAATCCTCAACAATATACACAATCAATGGCTGATGAACTCAAAAAGCAACTGAAGGTAATAGACACAAACGTTAAAACATCTAACACTTGTCCTTACATAAATAAATCCCTAGAAACTGATTCTATTTACTAACTGAAAACTTTTATTAAAATAGAGAATTCACGATACTGGAGCACGTAGATTCCTAGTAATAGGAGTAGCAGAGATTGGTTGCACACCGGGGAAAAGAGCGAAGAACTCGACTGCCCATGAATGTGACGAAGAGGCAAACACGTGGTGCTCTTTGTACAACGAAGCTCTTGTAAAGATGTTGCAACAACTCAAACAAGAGTTGCAAAGCTCAATGACTTACTCTTACTTTGACAACTATAGGTCCTTGCATGACATTATCTCTAACCCTGCCCGTTACGGTACGTAAAAATGTATATTTTGGGTATGCAATTTTATATTTTTGCATGTCACGGTTCATCTATAAATTAGCTGTGTGATTTTGTGATTTCAGGTTTTGAGGACGTGACATCAGCGTGTTGTGGAAATGGGAAATTAAACGCGGATATTCCTTGTCTTCCTATCGCGAGGTATTGTTCCGACAGAACTAAATATATCTTCTGGGATCGCTACGGTCATCCCACGGAAGCTGCTGCTCGGACCCTCATCGATCTTATGTTATCTGATGACTCACAATACTCATCTCCTTTAACTCTCACCCAACTGATCTCTTCATGATCACTACGGCTTCGTTCAAATTATTGTAACATCAAATATACATGGGATTCCGCAGAGATTACTTTGTAATCAAGTATACAAGCTAAAGTTTGTTAGCAATGAAATAAGTATTTATTAATTGGCTAGTTTTCACTCTGATTTTTTTTTTCATTTTATGAAAGTTGTTAGTCGTTCAATTTTCCAAAACAATATACATAGTTCACCTAACAAATGTAACGTTACACTCCGGCTGTAACCAAATTGGTACATTGGTCACAAATAAAAAAGTGCACATGATGAGTCCTTGTTCGTGAATTTTTTGGCATTCTTAAATCATTTCCAACTCCACATTTTACTGTAAAAATGGAATGAGAAAGAGAATAATGAACAAACAAACAAAATCATTAATGTAAAATGGGGTTGGATATCACCCCTAACGCTAAAGTATCTTAACAGAGACTCTCTCCATGTTTATTTATTTTAGTTTTTTAATGCAATTTATTATTTGAGTAAAATTTATTTTCTTTTAAACAGTTAGACTAACTATACCAAAACAGCTTGAAATGAGTACATTGACAGTTTTAAAGTATCTCAAAAGAAAGACAAGTTCTATCTCTTTCTATCTTCTCTGAAAAAATTTCATCTAGGAACCTCAACTAGATACTACCACTTGAACAGCGCTTGATATAGGAGAACTAATTGAACAAGCCTTGAAAATCCTTTGGAAGGTTTGTAGTATGGACCACACAAACGATGTTTCAAAAACATCATTGTTATAAGTTTAAATATTTTATTTATCCTTTGGACTTAATAGTTAAGGAATCACCACAATTTTTTTTTTATTGTGAACAAACGCGAATTAATTAGAAGAAAACAAAATGAATTGAGACATATATCTTTTTAGGGTTTATATATTATTATGTGAATAAATAATTTTATAATCTTTTAATCTCATATTTATAGCAGAGATTTAAAATCACATCTAGATGCAATAAATTCAATCTTGGCAAAAAAATCTTTCTATCCCATCTATCTTATGGAAAAACCTCTTTCGTTTCTTAGCATCGGCCAAGATGAGCAAATTCTTTTTTTTTGAATGAATGTAAAATTTAATCAATCAAAACTGTTTTACATCAAGTGTTACATTTCGATCAACAAAAAACAACCTATTACAATTTCAGAAATAAACAAAACACAAATTCATCTCAACACTCCCCCTCAAACTTAACCATGTGGAACAAGTCAAGTTTGGAAGGATCATAAACTTTTTCTCATTAAAACCTCTACAAAGAAAACCCAAATGGGACAAAACTTTGTGGAGGAAAAATAGTAAAAATTTTATGATCAGGAGAGTGCATGAACTACAGCAAAACAAGCAAGCCATTATCAGAAGAACACCCGGCAAGGAGACAATCATCTTGTACCAAACCAAATACAAAGACCTTCCTCCATCTTATAATCACCTTTACGCTTAATAGTAGAAAGCCTATTCCTAATGTTCTTATCAATAGTCTTAAGCAACACAACGGAAGGAAGCTGCTTCTCGCCATGCCTCCTTCGATTTCTTCCCCACCAAATAGTATGAGCAGCAGCTTGAAAGGTGTATCTCAGCAAGAACAACTTAACATGATCATATCCTCCATCAAGAAGAAGAGTGATAATGTCATCCCAATTCACAGAGTAACTTGACTGGAGCAATCCACTAACAAGCTTATGCAAAATTTGACTAGAATAAAAGCAAATTCAAACAATGCTTGAACTTCTTTGTTGTAATAGACTTGGTCAGCATGTCAACTGTATTTTCGGACATATGCACCTTCTCCAATAAAACTTCTCCAGAACGTGCTAACTCCATTATCTTGTGAAACCTTATACGAATGTGCTTTGTCCTTGCATGGTACACTTGATTCAAAGCCAAACACAATGCGCTTTGACTATCATAGTGTAACTGAACACCTCCTATCAACACTCAACTCGGATACAAATCCTTGTTACTATATCGCTTCGTTAGCTTCTTTTCAAAATGTCATATATTCAGCTTCCGTGGTTGACATCGCTACAATAGGTTGTTGTATCGATCTTTAACATATAGGTGCTCCTGTAAGAGTAAAGACATACCTTGTAGTAGACCTTATATTATCAAGGTCTCTACCATAATTCAAATCCACAAATCCAATAACTGAACTCTTGACCCCAAACATAAATACATATCATGTAGTCGTTTGACCCAACGAATCTTAGGATTTTACTGGTGCATAGAAATCTAAGATATATCCAGATGCAATATTTTCAGTATTCAATCATGGGATAACCCATAAATAAGTGCAGATTATTTAATGAAATTGATCAATTCTCGAAGTGGTGGTAACTATTCTCCCAATTTGCATGTCTTCTTTTGGATTAGGTTAAACAAGTCATTGAAGAAAGATCAGTGTTTTCATGCCCGACCCGGACCCGCGGTCCGACCGCTAAACCCAGTGACCCAGCAAGTAATCCGGTTTGGGTTTCACCAAATATCCGCTATTTAAAACCCCGATTAAATCCGCTAAAAATTCGTAAACCCGCTAACCCGGCAACCGATTGAACCATTGGTTGAACCAACAAATAATTATTTTTTTTTTTTTCTTCAAATCTTAAATTTCTTTAATAGAATCTGTTTTTTTATTCCTAATAAAAGGTTAGGTTATCACTTTTAGGTTAGTTTTATCCTAGCTTACGGTTCCCTACTGCGACTCTGCCGACTCTGTAATTTCTTCAACACTCTTTTTGTTTTTGATTAATTTGTTTATTGTTAATCTCACTCACAATCACAACCTTTGTAGTTTGTAGTGCATCAATAAACTTGAAGCACGTCCTATCTTTTTTGTGAAATACATTGTTTTGCATTAATTAATTATGTCACATGAAATTTTTATAACTTCGTTTATCACTTTTACAGGCAATGGAAACTGAACCAGAGGAAAACTATGATGAAATAGCTGCTGCAAACCGTTCAGTTCGTGGAAAAAAAGATGTTACATGGTCCTATGTGATTCAGTCAAAAGATTAATTCAAGAGGAAAACTGGTTTTAGAATGTGGATTTTGTCATAAAAAAAAAATTAGGAGGTGGTATTAATCGGATGAAACACCATCTTGCTGGTATGAAAGGGGATACGGACGCATGTATGAAGGTTCCAGCTGATGTGCGATTTAAGCTCTTGCAAACACTAAAAGAAATAGAGAGCAAGAAGAGGAAACATATTCAGTTAGATGATTCTAACTTAGATGGTCCTGAAGAGCAATATGTGGATGTCGATTATGATGTCATAGTTGATAGTGGTCCAAGTCAAAAGAGAAAACAAGGTACTGACTTACACGCATATTTCAAAAGAGGTGTGCATGATCCCACCCAGCCTACTATAAAAGCATGCATGCAAAGTAAAGAGAGAATTCATGACGTGGACATGTCAGTTGCTTTGTGGTTTTATGACGCTTGTATTCCAATGAATGCTGTGAATTCTCCATTTTTTCAGCCTATGATGAGTAAGGTAGGAACTATGGGTCATGGATATACAGTCCCTTCATATCATGCTTTGCGTGTTGGATTACTGCCTGATGCTAAGTTGCAAGTTTCTTTGATTGTTGATAAGTTCAGAAGCACTTGGGCTACTACTGGTTGTACTCTTATGGCAGATGGATGGAAAGACACCAGACACAGACCACTAGTTAATTTTCTAGTTTATTGTCCCAAAGGAATTACATTTATCAAGTCAGTTGATATATCTGATATCTATGCAAGTGCTGAGAACCATTTTTGTTTACAACCATAAGTGGCCATTAAGTTTTTTAAGGAAAAGACCTGGTTGGAGAGAGATCATACGTCCCGGAGAAACTCGTTTTGCTACAAGTTTCATCGCTTTACAAAGTCTTTATCAACATAAAGATGATCTACAAGCTTTGGTTACAAGTACTGATCCAAAGTTTAAGAAGCTTTTAAAATCTTCTAAAACAAGGGAAGTGAAATCAATAGTCTTGGATGAGAGAGCGTGGAACAACTGCTTGATAATTGTCAAGATTATGACTCCCATCATCCGTTTGTTGCATATATGTGATGCTGATGAGAAGCCATCTCTTGCCTATGTGTATGAAGGAATGTATCGAGCAAGACTAGGTATTAAGACGATGTTTGATATGAAGCCTCCTCTATACAAGCCTTATACATACATTATTGATAAAGATGGGATCGTATGTTGCGCCATGATCTTCATGCTGCAGCATACTATTTGAACCCAAAGTTTCATATATGATCAAGATTCATCTGTGAGAAGCCTGAGATCATGCGTGGGCTGATGAACATACTTGGAAAGCAAACGGAGAGTAGTAAAACAAAGCTTTTTCAAGAGCTTAGGGTATATAGAGAACGCGAAGGCAGCTTCTCTCAAGACATGGCACTAACTTGCAACAAGACCTCTCAGCCAGGTAATTTTTAGCATAAGAGTTTGACTTGCATTTTTATTTTTAAGAGTATACTGATAGATATTTATGAATTTTTAGATGAGTGGTGGAGGTATTTTGGATGTGATGCTCCAACTTTGCAAAAATTAGCAATACGGATACTTAGTCAAACTGCTTCTTCATCTGGTTGTGAGCGTAACTGGTCAGTATTTGAGAGAATCCATACCAAGAAGAGAAATAGACTTGAACACGAACGCCTAAATGATCTAGTTTACGTCCACTACAATTTACGTTTGCAAGAAAGGTTAGTAAGTTACTTTTTTATTTATTTATTTAACTTAGTTTATAACAAGCCATTACCTGTTTTTAACGTACAGGTCAAAAAGAAAAAGATCATATGATCCAGTAGATTATGAATGCATCGACAAAACAGAATTTTGGATTGTTGAAGAAGAAGAACCTGGCGAGCTTGACTATAATGAATTAGTGACTGCTTTTGCTGAAGAAGGAGAACATCCCAAAGATGATGAAGATACAAACCCAGCAAGTCTTGATGGTAATTTTCAATAAAAAAAATTTGAACTTTCTGTTTTTATTATATATAATATTAATTAAAATATTTTGTTTGTGATTTTTAGATTTTGATGAAGATTTCACTATGCCACCTGAAGAAAATGAAGTGAACGACAGACACAGAGAATCAAAATTAGTTTATGTGTTTTGGACCTTTTGGTATTGATTATTTTTTATCGAACTCCCAAGGCTTTACTTTTAAGTTTTAATTTATATTCACAGACATTGAAAACTTATGAATTTTAATTATTACCATATTTTTATTCTATTATTTTAATATTGTGTATTTAAAATGAATTAAAAATAAACACAACAAAATTGAAGTGCTTTTATATATTTATTTTATGATATATATATATATATATATAATTTCTTATATTTTTAATAGCTAATATATTACTATATATATTAAAATTAATTAATTTATCAACCCGCGGTTCGCCCACGGTCGACCCAGTAACCCGGTAATCCGGTAAGTTGTCCGGGTCGGGTTTAAAAACATTGAGAAAGATTGAGATTTGATTAAGTATTTCAGAAGATTACTCAAGATTTATAACAAATAAGTTTTCAAGATTACTATCTAACTTTCATGTGGAACAACCGGATTTTTCTTTCTCTACCATCATTAGAGAACCGGTCTTCAGGGGATTAATCGAACTTTCAGATTCATATACCCCCATATTGTTGAAAGACAATACTACAGTAACATATGTATTACATGTGCCATTTAATTATATTTTAGTAACTTTGTTAGTTATCAAACAGATGAATAAAGTAAGAAATATAAGTAAAGTTTTTTCGTTTTAATTTAAATGGTACTGTAGATATTATATCATTAATTAATTATTTAAATTTGATTTAATAATAAAGTTTTGGATTTTATTATAATAATGTTGGGTCTGTTTTTTTTTGTCAACTTTATTGTTGGGTCTGTTTCCAGTACACAGTTTTAATAAATAAAAAACATTTTTAAAACGTCACAATATTTAAAGTCAGAAGCACTACAATAAAAAAAACGGCCATATTTATACTATGCTAACAATAAAGTCGTCAATTCTTTACGCGTATACCAAAGCAAACACGTCAATAACGATCCCACTACACCTCGATCATGGAAACTTGCTTGATATATATATATAACAAAAAGAAGCTCTGTTTGATATACATATATTAATGTCAAATATTTTATATTTATGTGAAAATATTATTTTAATCTATTGTAATATTTGTCGATCGTCAGAAAGTAATCTGCTGTATCTGTTGTGAACATTTTAATTAGTCACAATTATTTGTAAAATGTGAGACCATGACGCCCGAATTAGGGTATATGATATTTGTTGATGAAGACCTCAATTTTTTTGGGTTCCTTTACTTGTCTGACAAATGAATATGAGTATAAACCTAACTATAAACATCTAAGTTGATAATCTAACCACCTGGAGTCATTCTAACCGACCAGGCTAAATCGAGTTAGGTTAAGCTAACGGCTGTAGGTTTATGTTTTTTTTTTGTTTTAAAAGTTAGATCGTAGATTTAATTTTAGTTGTAGGTTTATTTTATTTTTGTAGAATTTCAAAAACTTATAAATTTATAAAAATAAAACAGTAGAAAACTTGATTTCAAAAACTTATATAATCTCGTTTTAGTTTACTGTAGATTTAAAATTTTACTAAAACATGATTAGTACACTAATGAGCTGCGAAAAAAATGAAATTTGTGGAATGCACTCTTATCCCTTACCAGTAAACCCTTTTATGTAATTACGTGTTAGCAACCTCCCTCGTCGATTTTGCTTGACTTGTATCACTATCATTAAATCAGCAAACCAGTATCAAGTTAAACAAAACATTGACCACAAGGGTATATGTAATTTAAATAAGATAATGGAGACGGGTGTTACCAAAAAAAAGATAATAATAATAATGGAGAGAGGATGATTCATGATTGTATGGGCTAGAATAAAATATTGGTGGACGTTTTAGTGGTGAACATCACAACTTAAAGTGCAAGAAAGAACATCCATCAAGATATTGTTATTATATATGGCTTGGAATGATAAATAAAATATATGTTTGACTAATTAAGTAAAAGCAAATATTTGAAATGATCATGTATCTCACGATGATAACAAGTCCCATAAAACCCAATATCTCTCCTCTGTATATAACACTAAGTTTTCAATTTCTTACAACTCCATGAAAAACAAAACCAATTCAAATAACATGCCGACGAACAAAACAACTCCCCTTACCATCTTCCTAAGCTTCCTCGGTTTATTTTCGTTCGGTTCATTTCCCGGTTTAGAAGCAGCGACCGGAACACCAGCTTCGGTTCCAGGAGTGTACGTGTTCGGAGATTCGCTGGTTGATGCCGGAAACAATAACTATTTAGCAATCTCTCTATCCAGAGCTAATTATCCACATAACGGCGTCGATTTTCCTGGCAGTATATCCACCGGAAGGTTCTGCAATGGCAAAAACGCTGCTGATACCATTGGTGAGTTTCTTTTCTTCTTTGTCATATGTTTTTGTGTGGTATGAAACGAAGTTAATAGCTCTTGCATGTTATGTCAGACCACGATTGATTTGAATTAGATAACTTGACGTGCTGGCCACTAAAATGAAGTATGTTCACTAATTAACTATCAAGAAATGGTTAAACGTTCAAAATTAAGAATTAAAAATGAAAAGAAAATTACATATAGTTGTCAATATTTATATAATCCGAATATATTGCAGTGATTTGGTATATTTATTTCACCGGAGCAGTGACTTGAGTGTTTGTTTTACTTGAGTGTTTGGGGGAATTAATATTCTTTTGTTTGGGTTGATTAGCTGAGAAATTTGGTCTACCGTTACCACCGCCGTATCTCTCATTGAAAGGACCGTTTAGAGAGAAAGAGAGAAAAGCCGCCGCTTTGAGCGGTGTGAATTTTGCTTCCGGCGGAGCTGGCATCTTCAACGGTTCCGATCAACAACTTGTAAGTTATTCTCGTCCATGATAAAAAGAATGAGACAAAGTACTGAATCCATGGTCAGCTTTAGTTTTGGAACCAAAAGTTAGAACGGGTAGATTTGAAGCACAAATACTTCGTTCTCACATTCACCGGGGAATTATGTATTTAACAATCTAACTAATATATCAACCATATTAAAAACATTACAAATATAAAAGTAACTGCGGGAGCATGCATTGAACACGTGACATTTAGATCTACTGAGCTATCCAGACATTTTTATACAAACTTACTACTTATGTTATATTACCTTCAGAGACAATCTATTCCTTTATCATATCAAGTGAACAATTGGCTAGCCATTCACAAAGAAATCACGAGTCAGCTTGAACCATCGCGAGCACAAATCCATCTATCCAAATCTCTGTTCTTTGTGGTAATAGGCAGCAACGATATTTTTGACTATTTTGGATCGTTTAAGCTTCGACAAAAGACCAATCCTCAACAATACACACAATCAATGGCTGAAAAACTCAGAGAGCAACTGAAGGTAAATACGAAAGTTTGAACACTTGTGTTATTTATTGGTTATATACGTAAATTCGTAGCACAAATCTATTAATTGAGAAATTGTACTGGCAGAGACTTCACGATACTGGAGCACGTAGATTGCTGATTTTAGGTGTAGCAACGATCGGTTGCACACCTGGACTACGTGCGGAGAACCCAATGCATGAATGCGACGAAGAGGCAAATTCGTGGGCTTCTTTGTACAACGAAGCTCTAGTAAAGATGCTACAACAACTCAAAGAAGAGTTGGGAAGCTCAATGACTTATTCATACTTTGATAACTTCAAGTCCGTCCATGACATTGTCAGCAACTCTACCCGTTACGGTACGTCGATAATTTGTACATTTCGGATATTAAATTTTGTTATCACGACTAATGAAAACTAGGGATAAATCATATCCTCGTACCAAACTAAAGCGACGATATGAGAATTAGTAGAAAAAACAAAGTAATGTCGAACTTAACGAATCTACAGGAAAAACCATAACACGTTGTCGCTTTCTAATTTCAGGTTTTGCTGATGTGACATCGGCGTGTTGTGGATCTGGGGAATTAAACGCGGAGTTGCCTTGTTTCCCAGTGTCAAACTTATGTTCAGACAGAACAAAATATCTCTTCTGGGATCTCTACGGTCATCCCACGGAAGCTGCTGCCCGAACCATCATCGATCTTATGTTGTCTGAGGATTCACAATACTCATCTCCTTTAACTCTCACTCAACTGATCTCTTCATGATGTAAAAAAAAACTGGTCTCTTCATGATCAATACGGCTTCGTTTTTCAACATATTAGATCATCTATATAGAAATGGATTTGGGAGACCTGACAGGTAATCAAGTATACGGGATAAATCTGTCAGCAATGAAATAAACATTATTAATCTACTAATGTTTCTCTCATTTTTAAATAATATTTATTTTTCAAGTTTGTAATTGCTCAATCTTCCAAAACTATATACTGCACACCTTAACAAATGTAATGTTACACCTACACCCCGTTTTATCAGCCTCAACAAGTGGTTGTAACAAAATTGTTACATTAGCGTGAAGTGAAATATTACAAGATTTGAAAAGCATAGGCATGATGAGCCACGTTGTTCCCGGCAAGCTTTGTTGCATTCACCAAGCAATAATAGCAGCTTTACATACGAGAAAAATCGTCGGAAAAGAGTACAAGATCCTGTCTGAAGGGTTGTGATACAAGTCATGCTTAAGAAATGTGACATGCTTCACAAAAGACTCAAAAATAACCCTTGTGTTACTTTTTTGCGAATGCAAATGTTCGGCCAACGCATGCCTGCACCATCGTCTAATTCCAGATACAAGCCACGAAATGATGCTGGATGCAGAAGCTGCATCTGCTATAATCAGTGAAAAACCTAGGAGATGCAGTTGACACCCCTAAAATACGTATAATTTAATATCTTATGTTGTAAGTAGGGGGCGCAAATGACTCCGAGATTTCATAAATTTTGACCAATCACACAAGTGAAAAAATTATGTCATTCATATTCATTATACATTTTGGAGTCCAAAAAAAACTATGAAAGAATAGGAAAAGTTGTATCATTCCACAATGTATTATTTAAATTTCCTTCGGATAGTAACATGCTGAACCCCCAAAAATATGGGCTTAGGTATAATTTATAGGCGAATGTCAATGGTGCAGAATAGATGTATTTAATCATTTGGTCAGCTACAACTGAATAATTGAATTTTCATGATTGAATGTTTGCAAACTTATCCACATAAGTTTATTGAATATTGTCGAAATAGCGGATTTAATAAACAAACAATGTATGTGCAATTGTTGTAATATCATCAAGTGAACAGTATATGGAGGAAGATTTTGAACATTAATTTGAAGATTCATCAAAATCTGTTTTGGGTATATTTTTAAATAAAAAATATTATGAAAGGAATTTGAAACTGGTTTTAATTCACTTACGCCAGTTTAAGACGACTTCTAAAAACAACATTATGAAACTATGTCTGTTGTAAAAAAAAAAAAACTGTCTTTATTTGTGTACAATGATCATTATATTATTACTATATGTCTTTTTGTGTCACCACGATATTAGGGGTGATTTTCGGTAAGTAGGGACGGGTCACAATGGGACAAAGAGTATTCTTTCGTGTCAGTTTATCAAGGGAAGTCTAATCAGACAAACGAAACATGAACATCGATTTCATGATAAACTCACAAGTCACATCTTTGAGGAAATAGTATTTATGGCATCATTATTCTGCACGACTGTTTCAATGATCCTAAATGTTTCCTGTACAGTTCATTGTAGTAAAATGAAACTGCCTTAAACACCCGCAAAATATATTTCAATAAGGAAGCACATGAACTGTCTGACATTGGCAACATAAGAAGCTTCCTCTTCTTCATTTTTTATATGTTCCTCTTTTAACAATATCAATCTTAATTATATTATACTAACTAACATCTCTCCCCTCTCTATATAAACCAAATCTTACATCTCTCTTTCAACTCCAACGCCATCAGAGCTACAAGAGTTCGCCAGAAAATAAAAGATAAAAAGATGCCGGTGAACAACTTGCCGTTCCTCACCGTCTTCTTCCTTTTTCTCGGTTTACTCCGGTTCGATTCAATACCCGGTTTAGAAGCAGCAGCCGGGAAATTAGCTTCCATTCCAGGACTGTATGTGTTCGGAGATTCCTTGGTTGATGTCGGAAATAACAACTACTTACCATTTTCACTAGCCAAAAGTAATTATCCACGTAACGGTGTCGATTTTCCTAAGAAGAAAGCCACCGGAAGATTCTGTAACGGCAAAAACTTCGCCGATGTTCTTGGTAAGTTTTTAGATGTTATTTTCAGTGTCCATAACGTATGTAAAGAAAATATTACATAGCCATTAAGTAGTATATAATATACACGTACACTCATAAGAGACGTAAATGATTAAAATGAGATAAAGTTACATGTTTGTTCAAAAAAAAAGAGATAAAGTTACATGTACTAGTTGTAGAAATCAGCTGTTAATTATATAATTCAGTATTTTTACTATCAATATTTTTGGAGTATTTTCAAGAATTAATTTGAATATTTGGTTGAATAGCGGAGAAATTTGGTTTACCATTAACGCCGCCCTACCTCTCGCTGAGAGGCTTACTAAAATGGAAAAAGAGAGAGTCCGCCGCTTTAACAGGTGTTAACTTTGCCTCCGGTGGTGCCGGAATTTTTGATGGCTCCAGCCAATTTCCTGTAAGTTACATATATATCTGTTGGAGCAAATGGGAGTACGAGAATCAAGGAGGTGATAGAGATTGAAGTTGGTCATTATCGTTTTGTTTTGGTGTTTATCTTATCAAGTCTTGCGGCTCAAGTTTGTTAGTCTTTATCTTATTATTATCATGAGTTTTTGGAGTTATCTACTAGATTTTGTAAGGCTATATAAAGCCATGAGTTTTCTATGAATAAGAACGCAGAAAGGTTTTCAGCTTTAAGATACAGAGCATTATACTTTACAAAGTGGTATCAGAGCTCCGTTAAGAAAACCTAAAAGATGGGAGATAATAAGATGAAACTGCCACAGTTCGATGGCCATTGGGATCACTGGAGCGAGGTGATGGAGAACTTCTTCCGAGCCAAGGGGTTGTGGAGTGCAATTGAAACCAGTTATGAGGAACCGAAGGATGCAACAGTCTTGACAGATGAGCAGAGAGAGGTGCTAGACAACGCCAAGACCAGTGACCACAAGGTGAAGCACTACCTGTATCAAGCCATTGATAGGGTAACGTTTGAACAGATCTTGGACAGGAAAACATCCAAGATTATCTGGGATTCAATGAAAAAGAAGTTCGGTGGAAACGACCGTGTGAAGAGGTCATTGCTTCAAAAGCTCAGGAGAGATTTTGAGCTGCTTGAGATGAAAGATTCTGAGAAGGTGGAAGAGTATTTCACAAGAGTTCTGGCCATTACAAATCAGATGAGAAGTAATGGAGAGGAGATGCCAGACGTGAAAGTGGTGGAGAAAATACTCAGGACCTTAAGTGAGAAGTTTATGTATGTGGTAGTCTCCATAGAAGAGTCTAAGGAGATCGAAAAAATCACACTAGAGGAACTGCAGAGTTCGTTGGTAGTACACGAACAGAAGTTCAGAAAACCAGAGAAGGAAGATGATAAGTTGTTGAGTGTGACTCAAGGAAGAGGAACATGAAGCAGAGGAAGAGGCTATAATGGAAGAGGTAGGGGAAGAGGACGCGGTAGAGGCTTCACAAACAGAAGCACCGTTGAATGTTACAAGTGTCATAAGCTTGGACACTTCCAATACGAGTGTCCAAAGTGGGAAGAAGAAGCAAATTATGCTGAGGAGAGTGAAGACATGTTGCTAATGGCGTATATTGAAGAAGAAGAGGACGAAGTCACTTCTGATCTGATACTGATGACTCAATCAGAAGCACAAGAATCCACAAAGAAGACAGTATGGTTTATTGACTCAGGATGTTCTAATCACATGAGTGGGAACAGAGAACTATTCTCAACAATGGATGAGAAGTTCATGCACTCTGTTAAACTCGGAAACAACAAGAAGATGGAGGTAGTTGGAAAAGGAAGTGTGAAGATAGTGCTAAGAAATACAAACTACACTATTAGTGATGTCTTTCACATTCCGGAACTCAAAAACAACCTACTAAGTTTGGGACAGCTGCAAGAGAAGAACATCTCGGTAATCTTTCAGAAGGGCATATGCAAGATCTACCATGATGACAGAGGACTACTTTTTGAAAGCAAGATGAGTGCAAATCGGCTGTTCATACTGATAGACCAAACCAGTAATGCAGAGAGATCAAAGCAGCACTGTTTTCAGACAGTAGCAGAGAATGTGCCGAAATTATGGCATGAACGTTACGGCCATATTAGCCATCGTGGAATGAAGATGTTGCAGAGTAGGAACATGGTACGAGGGCTTCCTGCATTTGATGAACAAAGCTTCACATGCTCTGATTGCTTAGTAGGGAAGCAACCAAGGAACGCTATTCCTAAGAAAAGTATATGGAGAGCTAAAGAAACGTTGGAACTGATTCATTCAGATATCTGTGGACCTATAAGTCCCACATCTCCGAGTGGGAAGAGATACATCCTTTGCTTCATCGATGACTACAGTCGGAAGGCGTGGGCATATTTCTTGAGTGAAAAGTCAGAAGCATTCACACAATTCAAGATGTTTAAAAGGAAAGTAGAAATCGAAACTGACAAAAACATCAAGTGTCTGCGAACAGATAGAGGAGGAGAGTATACATCACAAGAGTTCTCAGATTTCTGTAAGAAGGAGGGGATCAGAAGACAACTAACTGCAGCCTACACGCCACAGCAAAATGGCATTGCAGAGAGAAAGAATCGAACTGTAATGAACATGGTTAGAGCACTACTCTCAGCAAAGAAAGCACCAAAGTATCTCTGGTCAGAAGCTGCAAACTGGACATTCTATGTCCTAAACCGGTGCCCAACAAGTGCTGTAAAGAATATTACTCCTCAAGAAGCTTGGAATGGAGTCAAGCCTAGTGTTGAACACTTCCGGGTGTGGGGAAGCATTGGACACGTTCACGTACCAGATGTGAAACGGAGCAAGCTTGATGACAAAAGTATAAAGTGTGTGCTGGTTGGTCTATCTGAAGAATCAAAAGCGTATAGGCTATACAACCCAGTATCAAAGAAGATGATGGTGAGCAGAGATGTGGTATTTCAAGAGAACAAGGGATGGAACTGGGAAGAAGAGAAAGATCATCAAGCAGAGTCTGTTCTTACTTGGAATGATGATGATGAAAGTTGGGAAGAAAGTGAAGAAGAAGGTAGCGACAATGAGACTCCAGTGACTGCACCAGAACCAAACATCGAACAAGAACCACCTGTAGAAGTAGCAGCAGAGCCTCACAACAACCCAGTTGTACAAACTAGGGAGGGACGAAACACAAGACGTCCACGTTACTTGAGTGATTATGTTACTGAAGGTGGAGACATGGACGATGATGATGAAACTCACATGGCAAACATGGTAGAGTTTAACTCCACAGATCCAACTACATTTGAAGAAGCAGAAAAAAGCCAGAAGTGGAGAGAAGCTATGGATGTAGAGATGAACTCAATTGTGAGAAATCAAACTTGGAAACTGGTGAACCTACCAAACGAAGCTAAGTGCATTGGTGTGAAGTGGTTATATAAAACCAAACTTAATGAGAATGGGGAAGTGAGTAAGTACAAGGCACGTTTGGTGGCGAAAGGATACTCACAAGAACATGGCATAGACTACACGGAGGTATATGCACCAGTTGCTAGGATGGATACCATCAGAACTATTCTTGCAACAGCTGCACACAGATCTTGGGAGGTGCATCAGCTAGACGTAAAGTCTGCTTTTCTTCATGGAGTTCTCTCAGAAGAAGTATTTGTGCAGCAGCCAAAAGGGTACGAAGTTATGGGGCAGGAGGACAAAGTATACAAGCTTCATAAGGCATTGTATGGATTAAAACAAGCACCAAGGGCCTGGTTTAGTCGTATTGAAGAGTACTTTGTCAAGGATGGATTCACAAAGTCACAAAATGAAGAAACTCTGTTTCTAAAGACAGAGGAAGGCAATACATTGATTGTGAGTGTGTATGTCGATGACCTTATTTACACAGGGAGCAGCCTTGAGATGATGGACGAGTTCAAGAAATCAATGAAAAGGGAATTTGATATGACTGAGCTAGGAAAGATGAGATACTTCTTGGGTTTTGAAGTTCTGCAAACATCAAGTGGTATTCATATTTGTCAATCAAAGTATGCACTTGAGATACTGAGACGGTTTGAGTTGGAGAATTGCAATTCGGTGAGGAATCCAATGGTTCCAGGAAGTAAGATTGATATAGATGAAGAAGGAGAACGAGTTGATGAGACGTTCTACAAACAAATCATTGGAAGCCTTATGTACATCACCAATACCAGACCTGACCTGCAATTCTCAGTGAGTCTTCTAAGTCGTTTTATGTCAAAACCCACACAACTTCATGTTCAGGCTGCGAAGAGGGTATTAAGGTACCTAAAAGGGACCCTGGACTACGGCATTTGGTACAAGAGAGAAGGAAGAGGAGAGCTACAGATATACACTGATAGTGACTTTGCAGGTGATGTTGAGAGTCGAAAGAGCACTTCAGGATATGTTTTCCTTATGGATAATGCAGCAGTTGCTTGGCTCTCTAAAAAACAGCCAATTGTAACTCTCTCAACAACAGAAGCTGAATATGTTGCTGCATCCGTTTGTGCGTGTCAAGCGGTTTGGTTCAAGAGGGTTTTGGAGGAGTTAGGATATCGTGTGGAAGAAGGAACCATCATTTGGTGTGACAACACTTCGACAATCAAGCTATCTAAGAACCCAGTGTTCCATGGAAGGTGTAAACACATTGGAGTACGTTTTCACTTCCTGCGAGAACTAGTCAACAATGGAGAGATACGTTTGGAGCATTGTGATTCACAGGAGCAAGTAGCAGACATTTTTACAAAGCCACTGCGTCGTGAAGTGTTTGAAGACTTAAGAGACAAGCTTGGAATTTGCTCTGTTACAAGTAAACTAAGCTTGGTTCACAAGACTGATGCTTAGTTTAGGGAGGGTTTGTTGGAGCAAATGGGAGTACGAGAATCAAGGAGGTGATAGAGATTGAAGTTGGTCATTATCGTTTTGTTTTGGTGTTTATCTTATCAAGTCTTGCGGCTCAAGTTTGTTAGTCTTTATCTTATTATTATCATGAGTTTTTGGAGTTATCTACTAGATTTTGTAAGGCTATATAAAGCCATGAGTTTTCTATGAATAAGAACGCAGAAAGGTTTTCAGCTTTAAGATACAGAGCATTATACTTTACAATATCTTCCATGCATGAAATAGAATATTGATAGAAATGTAGTGAACTTGGAACCTTTAGATCTTCATCTTAATTTTGTTTCACTCAAACATCTCAGGGACAAGCTATTCCTTTAACACAACAACTGAAACATTGGCTCTCTATACATGAAGCGCTCACGAGAAAGCTTGGACGATCCAAAGCACAAATGCACCTACCCAAATCTCTATTCGTTGTGGTCATAGGTAGCAATGATCTTTTAAATTATATTCGATCATCCAAACTTCGGAAAGAGAGTAGTCCTCAACAATATATACAATCAGTGATCGATAAATTTAAATCGCAATTGAAGGTAACCAAAAAACAAGAAAGCCAAATATCAATTATTATGTTCTACTTATAAAAAAATTATATATATTTGGTAATTAAGTATAGTTTTCTACATAAAATTATGTTAACAGACAATTCAGGAGACTGGAGCACGTAGATTTTTAATACTTGGAGTAGCACAACTCGGTTGCATGCCGAGTAGAAGAGAGAAGAACTCGACGACACATGAATGCAATAAAGAGGCAAACATGTTGGCCTCTTTGTACAACAAAGCTCTAATAAATATGTTGCAA